TAGTCAATTTCTAACTAATTGGTATGCTTCAATGTTTGAGGGGCAAACATTGTGGGGTAATATTACTTCTTCAGGAATGGTTTTCCTAGAAATTGGAAACTTGGTGTGGTTGGGGTTTTTTTGTTTTTTTGTTTTGTTTTGCTGATGTGTTAAAATATTTGATATTAAGCTGAGTTGGAGATATTTAAAGACCGACTATTTGGAGGGTGTTAATTGATGAGATTAGCAAGTGCAGAAGTATTTCCATCCCTTTTCAAGATTTTTGCTTGTATTGAGATGTATTTTCTTGGAGATTCCTGATATGGAAAATGAAGTAATATATTTAATAGGCATATAGTAAAGGATAGTAACTGATGGGGAGCTGTTCAGAAATGCCTGATAGACTTCAGAAGTAAATGCCCTATTGAAAGTTGACTGGACTTCTAAATTCCTTGAGCATTTCTGAAATTTGACCCATTTGTCCTTAAAACTTCATAATGCATTGCAGACAGTGAAAGTGTGTTGTGAATGTTATGGATTTTAACAGTATATTTCAATTGAAGCTGTTTGTCTAATGTGCATATTCATAATGCAGTCCAAGAGCATAGTTATAATAATAAAAATAATTGTGAAATAGTACCATTTCATCTGTGAAAATGTTTATGCAAACCACTAGTTTGTTTAAAGAAGATGAGCAATCATTAGAAGTGCCTTTTGAGAGGAGGGAATCTCTATAGTACCTGGCCTTTTCCATGAGTCTGATGTGCATATTTTTGACAGAAAAATGAATTTTTGTAGCTTAACCTCTTGGCAGTACAAATGGAATTCTGTACTTTACTTCCCGTAACAAACTGTACTATGCTATAGAGGATAATGTAAGGAAAAATATACCGAGCCATCATTTCGGTAATTTTTGTTGAAATACGCTTCCTTTTTTCAAATCTTCTGATTTGGATATTTATGCCTTAAGAGGAAGAGTTCACACTACATAATTTTATCAGGAAATTCCTATCTACACTATCATTTCAAATACACCTGTGTTAGTATTCAGAGCTCCAGAGAGGACAAGTCTTTGTTGCTTGGAACTGGTGCAGATAAACTGTTGGTAGTACCAGCCATGATTTGGTTTAAAGAAGCTTACATGGGTCCTTTCCACATGTAATGCACAGTTAGAAGATCAGATAAGCACATAACATGTATCTATTTCAGCAGTATATCGTTTCCGCAAGTATACATGTTATAGCACTATATTGTTACATGGATGTTGTATTCACCAGATTTGAATTCATGATAACAATTGAAAGGCAACCATCAACCTGTGAATGAAATTTGTGGTGTTTATATATAGGGAGGGAAAATATCTTTTTCAAATAATAACAAAAAACCTCACCTGAAATGATTTCCAGTACTGTCTACATTACGCTTTTTTGGAAATTCACTTGTGCAGTGCTGGTACTGGTAGTAGTGGTGGAAGAGCTAATGCAGATAGACCTCCAGCATATTGTAACCTATGTCTTCGGTATCTGCTCATATTAGAGCTAGATAATGCAGTGGTAGAAATGCCTGTGCCCTGTCTTAGTGAACCCAGCATTACTATCTCCAGAGGAGGAGCATTAGTGGTAGTAAAATATTTCCCAAGAAAAGGGGCTAGTGGAGATGAGGATAGTATATAACTTTATATTAGTCTTAGTACTGTAAGAACCTTTTGACAAGAATATTTATTGTATGTCCACCTGTATACTATGTGTAAGAATGTATACATTTCTTTTTGTAGCCACGTCATGAATACTTTAATGTCCCAGTGTACTAAATGGCTTCATTCATCATGCATGCAGAATTTCAGAGAGGAGATAGACCTGACTTATTCATGGCAGAACATTATCATCAGCTTGGTGAAATCAATCATCTTGAACACAATAGAATATACCACAACCATTATCTTTGCTGTTGTACGTTTCTTCTTCTCCTGTTTGTGTATTCTCATCTCATCTTGATATAACTTGTTCTTGTCAGCATGATTTCTTACTGTGTGAAAAGTTTCTAGTCTTATGTTTAACATTCAGCTTGAATAAGTACATACTGTAATATAAAAGGCCAAGTTAAGTATTTCAGCTGTAGTGTTACTTTAAAATACATATACAAATTGTACTATAAAGCTAAAGCTAATGATCACATGGGATGGGATAATGTGAATGTTACGTTTTTAGTGTGTGTATAGAATATATACATAGTTATATACATATGTATAAATTTGCTTTATGTATACTTGTAAAACTATGTATGTATTGCTAATGAAAAATGCAGAAGTAAAATCCATTTTCCTCTACACTTTTAATTTTCTTAGAAAGTATTATCACTGGGGCAGTGGTAATTTGCTGTTTATCATAAACATAGGTAGAGGGGAGAAATTGTTCTGCCTGATGGTTGGCACTTAGGATAGATAATGTTTTTTTTGTAATGTCACAGAATGTCTAAGCTTCTATCATTCTGATTTGTGTTTAAAGGTTGAGTACTTGAGCAGTTGTCCTCCTTTTTAAAGAAATGTTTAAATAAGTTACCCGGGTACATTCCTTTGCAACCTAATATTTCAGAGTTGTAACTTTTAGTTTTATTATTTAGTTGCTAATAGCATATTCCAGGCATATTAAAATTTTAACATTTATTCGTCAGTTTTTTAGATTGAAATAAGTTGTATTGAATTGCAAAAGGAATACTATTACTTTGAAACTTTCTATTAAAGTAAACTATCCTGGGTGTATGCAGAGCCAAGATGAAGATATATACTTTACCCTATAATGTCCTGTAAAAGTAAAGGCTGTTACATTATATAGAACTAGCTTATCTTTAAGGTAAAGATCATATACAGTTAAATAGAAAGGAACTAGTTAATTAAATCAACCCCAGTTTAAAATTTCAAAAATATTTCATGTGTTGTAATGCACTACATTTTAAATGCTAATCTGACTTGAAAGGGGGATTCTTGTATTTAATTTGCAGCATTTTGCGATATGTTACAGAAAATTAAAATAGAATATAAGGGTGGCTTTCCATTTCAAAGTTTGCTACTCTGTTTTGTAAGACATTATTAACAATTTGTGTGAACATGTGTGTTTGGTTAATGCTGCTTTAATCTGCATCCTCTCATGCCTGCTGGCTTAAAATGCTATGCATTGGGCTGTAACAAAATGCTGTTTTTCTTGTTGTTTGTATACAGCTGCTTGCTTTCATATGACTAGATAATGAATTTGCTTTCCTGGCATGTCTGAAATAAAGTATTGCATGTACTTCTGTCTCATGTGAATGGCTTTTTACTCCACTCTTGGTTCTGGTATTTCAAGTGCACACTGGTTACCTCAGTTAAATTCTGAATTGCAGATGCCATATGAAATGTTTTATAAAATGTTTTTATCTAGTTGTTATGGAATATATGCAAATGTTTTCTAAATTTATACATAAATAGAATTTAAATATAGCATAGATTTTGTCCATGTTTAGTTTCTTCAAAAGTTTTAACATTGATTCTTAAAATTCATAACAAAATGTGTTTAAAAATTGATAGGCATTCTAAATTGGAACAATGAAGGCAATAACATTTTCTCCTGAATTCTATGTCACAAGACTATCGCTCTCAAACAATAAGCATGCACGCTGATGCACTGGTGAGATTTAGCTCTAGTTGTAAAAACACAGTACCCGGTCAAGTGCCAGTGAATTTTATTTGAGTAATGAATCAAGCAGTGTGCCTAGCTAGACAGGATCGGTTAGCTGAAAAAACGTTTGACTACCAAAATTGAAGTGGCAACATTAATCAATAGTTACCATGGAGTTCATCATGTAAGAAGTGTTGTGTGTGGGGTGGTGTGTTTTTTTTTTTGTTTTTTTTTTTTTGTAATTTAGGAAATAATCCAATTCACCTCAGTTGTAGTTGTAGATTTTCAAATCCATTATAATTGAGTGAGACTTGCAGAAATGTCCAGCTGCAGGGTACCTTGCAATCATAGTCCAATACGCTGCCCTGAGAGAGGACCAAATAAACACTCTTAACGGGTGTTGAAAAATTGCATTAAACAGAATACATTTGCTCATCAAGCCCCAGAAACTTGCATGAAAAAATTGACATTTCTTTTAATCCAAACATAGGAATATAGTTCAACAATCATTTCTTATAATGTTTAAAATCAGTGTAAAGGGAAGCAAATAGTATTTTCATGCTCCAAGATCATTGAAGAACAAAAACAAACTGAACAATATATTTAATGAGTTAATAGTGTCCTTTTCACTATTTCTTTTCTCACCAATTTTGATAATTCGTTTTCCTTCTATTATCGAGTAGAAATTTGCATACATATTTTTAACATTTTTATAATGTATAGTATGCCAAGACTGTTTCACACCTTCTTCCATGTGAGTACAGGTCTGGAAATATTTAAATATTGCTTAAGAAGGAAAACCTACCTTGTTACATGGCTGGAAGTGGGATTTTATGTCTTTGGCTTTATTGGAAAAGGATTTTTTTTCATTTTATTGAAAAGTAGGTGGATTGAGAAAATCCACTGGATTTTGTCTAATCAGATTGTAATAACCTTGATTTTTCAAGTGTGGGTTGTTTTTTTTTCTTAATTTCCAGCATTATCGTTGGAGTTGTGCATACATTGAGGGTAGGAATGGGCATCTTGGATGGGCTTACGCTGTTTAACAGTGGCCTTTGAATGTACTAAAACACACCTGTTTCATGTGAAGTGGCACTGTTAATATTTGTGTTTTTTAATAGTAAATCAGGGTACACACATGGGTTAATCTGAAGGTTATAAACCTGATCATTCTACATATAGAATGTATAGAGGATACTTTTCAGAAGTGCTAGTGTTACAATACTAAACCCCTTGAGTCAAATAGGTACAAACTATTAAAGTGATACTTTAAAAATGCATCTAAATATTCTGTAAAACTACGCTAATTGAGAATTTGCTGCTTAATTGTAATTTATTTTTTTTCTTGCTTCATGATATGCATTGTCTTAGGATGCTAAAGTAAGTTTTTCTTTTTTTCCTGTTTGCTGGGTTCTTTAAAATTGTTTTTGTTTCATAGAAACATAGTATCCCTCTTCATTGACTATTATAATGTTACTAGTAATTGTTGAAATGAACAGCTCAGTTTTTGTAATCTGATGGATCTTTTAGTTGTTTAGAAATAACTCTTCAAATTCCCAACATGAAAATCAGATATAGACTTATTTAATTTATTTGTATATATGCTAATCTACTTTATTTGGTGCAGGCCAGAGGCTTTCATTGAAAATGTAGTCCAATAACTTTAGGGAAGAACTGGTTTCAGAAGTATATATCTGGCCTAAAATATTAGTCACAAATCTTGGGCTTCTCTTCACTTCAAACTTGGCCATTTCATCCTTCTAAAGTAGTTTTTATCCAGTATACAGTAGTCTCTCTAGCTAGGAGGGCTATTTTGAGTATTAATGATTTTACCTGACTAGGACCTGTTTTGAAAACTTACAAGTTAAGATTTAAAGCAGTGGTTTGGTATTGGTAGCACCTTTTGCACAGCAGGCATCTAGGTACGACCCCCCCTCCTTTATACATTTAAAAACTTTTTTAAATATGTACTGCTATTATAAATGTAGGAGGAGAAGTGGGGCTGAGGGTGGAGGATGACAGCTTGCGTTCCCCCCCACCCCCACATAATAAACTAATGATGTCCAGTTTGAGAGCATCTGATTTAAAGTATATTGTATCTGTACAGTACAACAGCCATTTTATTTTTTCTTGAGGGATTTTGGAGTTCTCGTCAAAATATCACAATGCAATAAATTTGAATCCATTACATGATTTTTTTAAAGTTTGTCTGTTTTTCTAAGTTATGACTTGTCCCATGATGTCAATATTTTGTGTGCTAAGGAGGGGTCATAAAGCTTACAAGCCATCCCTCTACATTACGGAAAACTTCTTAACAGCCCTTTTAGAAATGCAGCTGTTGTCATAAGACACTTTCCATATTAACTTTCCACATATGAGCATGTTTGTTAGGCGCAGAGGATCTGTTTACCACTTTTTTCAAATTTTTCCTCCACAGGAAGCTGAGACCCCACGTAGTGTACTTGAAGAAATTGGACTCACATAAATCTTCTCCTCTGGCGTTTCCTGGGTGTTTCACATACTGTAAATGTTCACTGCCATCATTTTAATGTTTAGCTAATGGTGTAAGATGCTGTCTGTCAGTATTACTGTTTTGCTAAGTTGCTTCATTTGGGCCTACAAAGTAATATACCACTTATAGGTTTAAAAAGGGAAGAAAAATTTAAGCCTCCAAAAAGGATAAAAGAAAGGGATTTCAGTTTACAATGAGTAATTCCAGACTCTCTCTTTGGTGCATCTGAGAAAATCATAGGTGATGACTTCTGTAATTAAACTGTTCTATAAGCAACTGTGAATCGGCTTCAGTGCATTATATCATTTTAACAGAAAGGAAAGTATTTGTGACAACTTCAGTAATTATATCATGTTTAACAGGAAGAAAAGTATACGTGTCAACTTTAAATGTGAAATGTAACAACATGGAATTTGGTTTTATGCAACCAAAGACTTATTTGTTCATCTACATTTTGACAGCATTTGTGAAAATTGTTTTTTCAGTTAATACAGAAAGATTGGGAATTAGCTGCTTACTGTGGATTTTTTTCATTATACCAAAGAACCCTATTATGAGCTGTATATAAAACTGGTATGAGCTGTTAAGGTGTTTTCATTTTTAGCAATGGGTCTGTAACCAGACCACTTGATAGACATGAAAGTATTCAATACAAAGATTTTACACAAAACTGCATGAGTTAGTTAACTTAATACAAAGGGAATGCAAGTTGTAAGAAGTAAGTTTTATATTGGAATCATCCTGTTTTTAACTCCAGTATTATTGCTTTAACCACTGTGAACTTACACCTAGATTATGGACTTTGCCCTTCTTACTGTTCAGATGAGTAGATATATAATGTAAAATATGGTGGGGGTAGCACTTGAAATCATGGTGAGGAGAGGGGCTGACTTAAAGGGAAAGTTACAAATGTGCAATTTAAAAGAGAGAAAAGATGGGTGAGGCAAGATATTTCATTGGACCAATTTCTGTTGGTGAAAGAGACAAGTTTTTGAGCTAACTACACTGAGGTCTTTTCTAGGTCTGTGAAATGTACTCTGAGGGCCACAGCAAATACAAGGTGGACCAGATTGTTTAGTAGTAAACAGTTAACCTATATTGGAAAGGATTATTCAACTTAAAGGGTCTCATTAATACCCCTCCAGGCCTAAGGTGAAAAAGAAGCAGGCAGAAGACCACTGAGAGAGGGCTTACATTTATAACTTTGCTACACATTAAAAATCATGGACTGATCAGACATTGAATTTATAGCTTAGAACAATAATCTATATCCACTAACAACCCCCCTACCCAGTTAGCTTCTCTACCTTTCTCCCCCTTCTCACCCCTAAGAACGAGGGGCGCGTTAACAGGCTGTCACTTTGAATCCTCCTTGAAATGTAACAACTACTTATGCAAAATATTCTGTTCCACGTTGTATTTAGCTGTGACCCTCTGTGTACATTTCTCACACCTGAATAAGAGCTCAGTGTAAAATCATAAGCATTTTTCTCTCACACTGATAGTTGGTCCAATAAAAGGTATAATCTCACCCACCTTGTGTCTCTAATATTCTGTGACAGACATGGCTGCAACACTTCATGTAACAATTTAGAAGTTCTTGTTTTGATTCCTAGAAACAAGACTAATGGCATTGCATTTACTGCTGTATTATTATGTTCAATGGTGGCATAAGCACCTATTTAAAATCTTTTAATAATCTATTTCATTAATAGATCTTTTTAATTAATGTCCTGATTGTCACCATACCTGCAGGTGACATCATTGTTAAACTACTAAGCTTAAAGAAACACCAGTGTTTGTTTACAGTAGAACCAAATTAATTTACACTATTTGAAAATTAGTGAGTTTCAGCATGTAAATGAACAAATCAAGGATAATACACCATAAAATGTACTTCATTTATTTTGACAGTTGCGTATTACAATATAGTCTACACTTCCGAGTATTTACTCCGAAACCTCTGTACAGAACTCTGTTCTGTTACTGAGAAAACCAGTGCCATTTTTTTCTGCAAATTACATATGAAGTACACAGTAGAACTTTGCTGTATCTTCAGTGATCACAAGGTGAGTGGTTTTTTTTAAGCTTGCTGTTATGTTGGAACTGACCAGGACTCCCTCACATTTCAGTTTGCACACTTGATGTGAGCAGTACCACACATGTACAGTATTGATTTCCGTTCATTTACAGAACACAGGCCTCTCAGATCACTAGAATATCATATTTGTATCAGGTACACAAGAGCCCTGTTTTGTATTTCACTCATGTAGAATGTGCAAAAAAGAGGAGGTACAGCTAGTATCGGGATGGCCTGTTGTTTGTGCTGTCAAAATGATTCTTTAATTTAAAGTGTCAACCCTAAAGCAGTTTTATGTGTGTTTTAAAAAACCTGTTTCTAAGGTTTGTCACTTGTATGTGCTAGGCTGAATTAAGCTTTGTTGTGATTGTCTCAAAACCTGTGACCATTGTCTTAGTATCACATCAATTTAATTGTAATAAATGCTCATTTTTACACCATTGCTATGTGCTTATATATAATCAGAGGTTTAATATTTTTCCTGAGGAGAAAAAGGATAGGCAAATCTTTTAGTGAAAGGTAAAAATAATGTACAGTGAAACTACACTATAGCACTTGAGTTGCATCAAACTTTATTAAAAATGTTTAAAGTTTACTTGAACTCCATTTATTTACAATTATTACAATTTCTACAGAAAACAATAAGCAGGTAATTGAAAGCTTAAGCCACAACACTGTACTGTAAAGAAACTTCATCTAAATGGATATTTAGTTTAGGTTATAGTGCTATTTAATTTTAAAGTAAAAAACACATTAACTGAAGGTATTTTGAATAATAAAACTTAACATTCCGTTTCTTGACTAGAATAAAGGGCAATTTAGTACACCATAGGCAGTCCTAATTTCAGATGAAGTTTTTCTGTAACTGGGAGAAGCCACTTCTCATTTTCCAAAAAGGCAGCACTAAGATGCTTGCCTGAATTCCACTTGACTTTACCTAGAGAAAAAAAATATGGAAAATCATTAGAAATCCTTAAAGAGAGGATACTAACAAGGATAAGATAAAAGCAAGCGTACATACAAGAGTAAGTTTATCTACTTAATCATCACTTTGTATTCCAGCTATTGCAATGCAGTCTATGCTGTCCTTGGAATACCAAGCATTGGACTCTTAAATAATTTCAAGCCGAATGCCTTGCAGAATATTTTTCCAAGTGTTGAGAATAGACCAAGAAACAGCATTGAAGAGGTTGATTTATACCCAAGTTAACTTCACTTATCTAATTTATAAGCAAAATTTCTGCTAACTTTGCCGTGCTGCAAAATTTAACTCTGGCCAGCAGTCAAGGAGGAAATCTAGTTTTTTCTGGCAGTTTGGAGTCCACCTTTTGATCTCCTTTAGTACCAGGACTGTAAAAGTCTGATCTGCTGCTTGATACTACTAGCCTTAAAAAGCAAGAGGATGTTCTCGTTTATATTCTTATTTCAGTGAAGTGATACATCCTTGTAGAAATGCTGGTTTGAGATTGCTGTGACCAGGGTATCTTGGACTAGTTCTGTCCTATAGCTGTGACTAAGTAGATGATGTGGGAAAAGCTGAAGTACTCAATGCTTTTTTTTTTGCCTGTCAGCTCCCAGACTACTAAACTAGGCAGTGCAATAGGGGAAAAGTGGGCAGCCCTCAGTGGAGAAAGAACAGGTTAAGAGCTATTTGGAAAAACTAGATGTACACAAATCCATGAGTCTGGATTTAATGCATCCAAGGGTAGTGACGGAGTTGGTAAATGTCATTGCAAAGCCTTTGGCCATTATCTTTGAAAACTCATGGAAATTGGGAGAGGTCCTGGATGATTGGAAAAAGACAAGTGGAAAGCCCATCCTTAAAAACGGGAAGGACAATCCAGGGAACTATAGACCAGCTAGCCTCACTTCAGTCCCCAGAAAAATCATGGAGGGGATCCTCAAAGAATCCATTTTGAAGCACTTGAAAGAGGGGAAAGTGATCAGGAATAGTCAACATGGATTCACCAAGGGCAAGTCATGCCCGACCAATATGATTAGCTTCCATGATGAGAGAACTGGCTCTGTGGACATGGAGAAGTCAGTGGATGTGATATACCTTAACAAAACTTTAAATACAATCTCCTACAATATTATTGCCAGCAAGTTAAGGAAGTATGGATTGGATAAATGGACTGTAAGGTGAACAGAAAACTGGCTCGATGGTGGGACCCAATGGATAGCTTTCAATGGCTCGATGTCTGACTGGCATTCGGTTTCAAGTGGAGTGCCCCAAGGATCGGTTCTAGGGCTGGTTTTGTTCATCTTTTATTAATGACCTGGATGAGGGAATGAATTACACCCTCAGCAAATTTGCAGATGACACCAAGCTGGGGGAGAGAGAGATACGTTAGAGGGTAGGGATAGGGTCCAGAGTGACCTAAACAAATTGGGAGGATTGGGTGAAAAGTAATCTGATGAGGTTCAACAAGGACAAGTGTAGAATCTTGCATTTGGGACAGAAGAATCTCAAGCATTGTTACAGGCTGGGGACCAACTGGCTAAGTAGCAGTTGAGCAGAAAAGAACCTGGGCTATGTCTACACTGGCAGGTTATTGCGCAAGAACGGCCGTTCTTCCGCAGAGTGTTCACAATGCCCACCTGCTCTTGTGCAAGATGATTTACAGTACGGTGTGGTGAGAGAGGGCTTCATGCGTAAGAGCTATGCTCTTTTCTAACAGGTGTAAGCTCTCTTACACAGGAGCTCTTGTGCAAGAGGGCAGTGTGGATGTACGCCATGGGTTTCTTGCACAAGAAAGTCCTATGGCTAAAATGGCCATCATTGCTTTCTTGTGCAAGAAAGCATCCACACTGCCATGGATGCTCTTGCGCAAAAGCACATCTTGCACGTGGCAATGTGGACGTGTTCCTGCACAAGAGTTGTTGCACAAGATGTTCTTGTGCAATAACCTGCCAGTGTAGACATAGCCCTCGAGATTACAGTGGATGAGAAACTGGATATGAGTCAACCATGTGCCCTTGTAGCTAAGAAAGCTGATGGCATATTAGAGTACATTAGGAGGAGCATTGCCAACAGCTCTAGAGCAGTTATTCCCCTTTATTTGGCATTGATGATGCCATGTCTGGAGTAGTCATCCAGTTCTAGGGCCCCCACTATAGGAAGGTGGTGGATGCATTGGAGAGGGTCCAGTGAAGGGCAACCAAAATGATTAGGGGGACAGGAAACTGGGCTTATTTAATCTGCAGAAGAGAAGGGGGGAGGGGATTTGATGATAGCCTTCAACTTCCTGAAGAGAGGTTGCAAAGAGGATGGAGAGGCTGTTCACAGTAGTGACAGATGGCAGAACAAGGGAGTAATGGTTTCAAGTTACAGTGGGGGAGGACTGGGTTGGATATTAAGAAAAGCTATTTCAGTAGGAGGGTGATGAAGCAGTGGAATGGGTTACCTAGAGAGGGGGTGGAATCTCTATCCCTAGAGGTTAAGTCCCAGCTTGACAAAGCCCTGATTGTGATGATTTTGTTAGGGTAGATCCTGCTTTGGTCAATGACCTCCTGAGGTCTCTTCCAGCCCTATGATTCTATGATAATTTGAACATACACCCTTTCATCTCAAAGCTACCCTCTTCCCCCCAAAAAAAACTGTTGCTTTAGCTATTTGTGTCTCTCCACTATCTCTGTGTGATCTCCACTTCTTCCCCTGCCCGCCATTTATATCTTGTGAAGCTGGAACAATGGTGGCATGCCAATTCCATAGCTTACAGGAAGGGATGCTGTTTTTTGTAGCATGCTAAAGTAGATCCCTGCATCTTGCTCATAACCTGCCCCAGTAAGGCTTTTTTTGAAAAATTCATAGATAGTGATCTCTCTGGCTCTCATCATATAGCCTGACCTGTATAACACAGTGCATACCACTTTTCAGCATTAATTCATGTTTGAACTAGAGCATGTCAGAAAAACCAAATTTGATTAAAGTCTAGTGATTGACTACAGCTGTACTAACTTTCAGTGGTCAGTTATACTCCTTGTTAAGAACTGCATCTATGTCTAGTCAGATTGTCTAGCTTCAACTTCCAGCTGTTGAATCTTATCTTAGGATGGTTCTCAAGGCTAGCATACAATCTTGCTTTTGTTCCTCACATAGGTACTCAGACTTATCAAATCACCCTTTAATCTCCTGAGTTAAATAGATTGAGCTCTTTGAATCTGTCACTACAAGGCATGTTTTCCTGTCCTTTAATTATCTGACTTGAACCCTCTTCAGTTAAAAGCTTCAGAGGAGTAGCTGAGTTAGTCTGCAAGACTATTCATTTTTTAAGTTTTTCCAGTTACAGACTGACAACATGAAATGGTGGTATGAGCTGTCATGGGTACAACCTTGAAATAGTGGATGACAGAACTGGATGCTATAGTCGAGTAGTGGTTGCAATAGCACTGTATATTTAAGGAACCGGGTGAGGCATCATAATGTGTGGTAAACACTCTTGAAAGAAACTGAAAGCAGTCCTCCTCTTGATCTCTCAACCTCTGCAAAGAAAGCTACATGTGCTCACAATCCTCAAGCTGATGTACCCATGCTTGAAAGCATTACTGGTTACAAACTAACATGGAACTACTCTGCTTCTGAGAGCTATTGATGTGGGCCTGAGAACAATTTGGATGACATACAGTATAACTCTAGTTTTCATTATTTGAGGCAAAGTACAGTCAATGACAAATAGCATTACAGATGTCACCAACAGTTGTGTAGGTTTTAATACTGTACAGTAAATATAGTAATGCAGAGCATGCTTAATCTGTCCTGAGAAAATTACTCTTCCCTTCAAGCATGGAGGGCAAAAGTTAGAGCTAAAAGTGTTTTCAGATGTTTTAAACATGCTCTACTGCTATGAACTGGCGAACTAAGCAGGCCAGAAGAGCTGAAGAGCCTGATTTTCCTGTGCCTTGTACCTGGGTCACTAGCTTTTCTCTGAAGTAGAGTGCTATGAAATTAGTTGCTGCTGCTGCATTTTTACAGAGCATGTACAGAAACCCTGTTTAAAGTACACTCTACCAGGATTAAATCTCGCTTTGGGGTGGGAATCTTGTCAATAGCCTACACTTACTAAAGACTACTTGAAATGCCCTTTTTGGGGGGAAGAGACTGAAAGGTCCATGGAGCAAGGAGCTACCTGTACAGTATCTAGAACATGGACTCCTCAGTGCTATTCTCATTTCTTTAGGACACCATGTATTAGGAGCTATTAGGGCAGTAGAACTACACCATGAAAAATTCATCTAATGAGTTTAGTCCCTTTGTAAGCCCTTCTGCTATTTCTCCTGCAAAATTTAAGCTTACATTTAAAAGAGAAAATTGTGGGGGATTTTAAACAAAACAGATTGCTCATTAAGCTATAGTGTAATTGCAAAAAGCCATACCTATGACTTATTCCCCATGCACTTGATCACTAGATGTTATGCAGGAGGAAGAAAAGCAATTGAAAAACAAATGCTGACACAAAGTTGTGGCAACCTAGCTTTTGATGCTAAATGCATATCTAAACAGCTTAAATGTGGAGAAAAAAATAGCTGCTGAATGCACTATTGATATTAACACACTGATGCATGGATAAAGCTTTAGAGGAAGCTGTGCCCTCAAGTCAAGGCTAGAATAAATACTTCCTTTTCTATTTAACAGTGTAGCTATAAACAAGCATCTGCATTATGGGTTGTATTTTCAAGAATAGCTACATTCCCAGTTCTGCTTGAAAAAAAAGTCAGTAGGAATTAAGTGCCTACATGCCCTTTGAAAATCTTTTAAATTCTGCATCTCTGTCCCAAGATAATACTGGTTTCAAACATCCAGTTGGAATGCAAATGAAGTTTTTAAACACTGATAGATGTGGGGTGTTATCAGGCTTAACTGTGGTTTCTAAATATTTTTATTACCACTTTGACCAAAACAATTCATCCAAGTTCATTAGTGGCAGCATGCTCCACCTAGGAAAGTATATAAAGAACTGGAATAAGGAAGTCCTGACAGCAGTACACTTATTACTCCCCTACATGTACTTTATTAGTTTCTTCAGCCACTCTGTTTCTTAACACTCCTGTATTTAAGTTTATAGTATCCCTGCAGTGATCTTTAACCCTAAGTTCACGTTAGCCATTGCTCCCCATTTTAAATTACCATGCCTTAACATTACTGCCTTGATTTATGCCCAGTTTAGTTGCTGAACCATGTCTTTCCTCATTTAAAAAGGCAGGAGGAGGAATAAGAACATTTCTGCTAACACTATTATCTAAAGCAAGCAGACTTTTTTTGGGTCTATTCAAAGTATTTCCTGTTGCTGCTCTAGGAATACAAGCACAAACTCTTAACTAGCTTAAGGAGCACAGTATTAAATATCAGTTGGTGTGGCCTACCATTGAAACCCCTGTGCACTCCCTCTTGGTATTTTTGTTCCTCTCCTTCATTCATCAGGACCATTCCTATGCTGTGCCTATATGCAGAATTTCCTCAGTGGCACTAGTACAGAAGTGGGCAAATTCTGGCCTGCGGACCTGCTTCGGTCCGCAGGGTTAGTTCCTGGCAGGCCTGTCTCTATTTACCTGCACTTCTGCTGATATCTGGACATGGCAGCTCTCGTTGGCTGTAGATCACTGTTTGTGGCTAATGAGAGCTGTGGGAAGCAGCGTTCTGATCCATGCTGCCATGAACAGCAATCTGTAGTCAATGAGAGCTGTCGTTGCCTGACACCTGGGGAGGCACAAGTAAATACAGTGGCCAGTCAGAGACTAATGCTGGCAGGCTGTTGGGGTGGGTTTTTTTTATTGCTCACCCCTCACTAGCAGAAGAGGCAAAGTGGCTTTCAAAATCTTAAATGTCACCCCATGATTGCTTAGTAAATAGTAAGTTAAAGGAACAGCACAGGGAGCATTTTGATCCCTGTTCTCCACTTGATCTTGGGATAAATTCAGTGATCTAGTCCTCCAGGAAGGATTTACACAAAATATTGAATTTCCATAATCCTGGTCTGTGGTAAGTTTAAATAATTAAATTTATACCATCTTTCTTGGTCATAGTCCAAGGTCTTTTATTATTAAGATACTCAATTTTAATACAAGATATGCCCTAATATAGTACAACATTCTTTATACATAGCCATCTTTGACACACATGGTATGTTAGTAACACTATAGTTGCTCAAGTGGCAACTCCTCAAAGCATTCTCACTTTTTTGGCGGGAGGTCATTGCTTCTGCCCCTGCTGTCTGACCTCTTTTTGCCCCGACTCCTGGACCGAGAGGAGCTTCGGCTTCGACTATGACCACGTGTGCAACTATGGCTTCTGCTGCGACTACGACCTCTCCTCTTCTTCCCTCTACTATGTGACCGCCTTCGTTCCCGACTTCTCGACCTGCCAGACTGCCGTCTTTTCTTGCTCTTGTGGCTACTTTTTTTCCTATCTGATTCTCCATTTCTTTTGTAAGAATGGTCTGAGCTAGGACTGGTCCGTCTTCTTGACTTGCTGTAATAGTCCTCATGATGGCCTGATCTGTTTCTCCTTTCAGAGTTTTTAGCTGATTGACTGGTCCGTTCAGGAGAAATATGTATATCTCTATTAGCCTCCCAGAACTCATTGTGTGGATTTCTGAATACGTGAAGAAAGTTGCAGTGTTTCCCTCTTGGGCATTTCTGCCTTTCAAATAAACCTGCAACAGATTTTTTTTTAAATGTATTAAAGGTTACTTTAATATTCTTTAAAGGCAACTAAATCCTATTTTACTGTAATGAGTCAGTCATTAAATATGCATTTTAAAAGACTTTTGTACTTAAATCTTTTGTTTTTCCACTGTAGATATTCCTACCATGTCTATCTCATTTACAAAGAGAAAAAAAACCCTTAAGTTCTTTCCAAGATTACATTTTATAATCTTAGTCATGAGACCCACACATTCTAATAGTAGTTTTAAGCATTCAAACATTCTAGTATGTCTTATGCTGAAGTGATTTTAGTAATTTTATAACTTAATTTTTACACTTCACTAAACTAAAAAGTAAGTATCCTTATATAAATTGGGTTGAATGGGTGTGTTAGTTCTGTCTAATGGCTGGTTTACTCATGCCTCTATCTAAAATGTTAATGTACATGGACTGGCCTTTTAAGTGCTATCCTAGAGGTAAGAATTTTTTGTTTAAAGACCAATACATTTAGTATTGTAACAAGACTGAGGAAGAATCCGCTAAATATAAATCAACACTGATCATAATTACTCGAGGAAATTCTGCACTCAATATTTTAAAATTCTGCAAAATCGCCAGCATGACAGTAGGAGATAAGACAGAGACCACTAGCTGCACAGAGGTGGGAGATCAATGAACAGGGTCCCTCTTCCCCACATGGGCACAGACTCTATGGTGAGGCTGCATCCAACCCTGACACAGCACAAGGACTGGGACTGCCCTAGATATACTCCAGGACCCTGGCTCCTCCATTGGGTGGGCAGGCAGGCTCAGCAGGGCAGAATTCAGGTTGGCAGGGATTAGTGTGGGGAAATGTGGGTGCAGGCAGCTCACTGGAGGATCTGGGTGCAATGGTAATTGAACTCTGCACAGGTCCAAGGTGAAGGTAGTTAGGGATCAGTGGGGGGAAGGAATCTGAGGAAGGGCACAGAGCTCACAAGGGGCTCTGGGTATGTGGGGCTCAGTGGGGGGTGGTAGGACTTGGTGGGAATCCAGATACAGCTGACTGGAGCTTAGTGGGGTGGAGATCCTAGTACTACAGACTCATCAGGATGGTGCAGAGGGAGTGGGGCTCATCACAGGGTATGTGTGTCAGCAGAAGGGTCTGGATCTAAAGGGTAATGGGGGAGCAAGTCCCTATACAGAATCCCTCCCCCTGCAATTGAGGAATGATTGATGCAGGTAGTGGAGATGGGGGGAGGGAGTTTGTAGATCTTCCTCTAGCTGAGGGGAGAAAGCTGGTGTGTCTCTTGTGGCTTTGTTTGCTTCATCAGAAAGCAATTTTTCTGCAGGGAAGCAAATCTTGCAGAGGACATAAATTCTGTGCATGTGCAGAATTCCCCTAAGAGTGTCATTATGAAGAAGCTCTGTTTTAACATTTCAGAACCTAACTAGGTAGCTAGTTTTGAATGAGATAACAGACGTCCTGCTTATTTTACAATCTATAATCCCAAAGCATTCTTCCTAAAGATTCAGGGTGACACTGCATCCTAACTACAGCCAGTTTCCTAAATCACTCCCTGCAGTTGGATACCATATTCACTTCCTGCCCAAAGCTTTTGTATATTCACCCCAGAAAGTTCCTCTACTGTAATTTTATGTGGATCTCTTTCTGATTTGAAAGCCTATAAGACACCACTTCTTAATCTTTCAGTTCTAGAACAAGCATTTTGGTAATAAGACACTTTCCCCATCTATAAAGATAAGTCCTTGGCATACCACATATAGCAGTTTTCCATCTTGTCACTGGGCAAAATTCACACTGAAGCTGTCGTCCTGCATACCATCGTCCATTGAACAGAGCAAGGGCTTCTTGACAGTCTCGCTCCCTTTAAAGATAAGGGCAGCATGTAGCATAATTGTGATGTTATATAAACCTTTAAATTCTGTTCTCTATCACGTGTGGACTGTTACTGCAGTGTGGGCATTAGTCATTTACAGGGCTTGACAAACGGCGGTGAATTCTACTCACCAGCCCCGCACTGCACAGCACATGTACAAGACCTGCATTGCACATGCACGTGCCGCCAGTGAACGGGGCGACTGGCTGAAATCTACTCGCCCTGAGCGAGTAGAAACAGCGATTTGTCGAGCCCTGGTCATTTAGATAAAATAGAGTTTAAATGACATTCAAATTTAAGTAAAATGGAAATAAGGAATTAAACCTTTTAGAACCTAACAGGAAAAGTAACATTTTATTTCTGGGGTACTGCCTATGACCTAGACTATTTAATTGTCAGACATCATAACAGTTAACTGGAAAGCACTTACAACTGGTATTGAACGTACACATTTCCCCGCAGGTGAGGCTCATAGTTGCAGCTGACCTAAAAAGAAATTAAATATTTTATTAATACTTCTGAAAAATTGAGAGATCCGCAGCAGCTCATTCATGATGGAACAATACTCACTCCGATTTCACTCACACACTGGGTGACAAAGTAAAAGTATTTAATTTATCGATTCTTCTGGCTTGTTTTCACATATAGATTTAATAAAACTGAATATTTAGTTCTGATTAAATAGGGAAATTTTTAAGTATTCCTGGTGTGTTTGATTAACATTTAAAATGAGTTGCTTTGATGTTAAATTCTTGATGTTTCCATTTCCCCCTATCGCGGACAGCTTTTAGTTAAATTCTTGATGTTTCCATTTCCCCCTATCGCTGACAGCTTTTAGTTGAACACACACACACACACACACACACACACACACACACACACCTCTGCAAACTAAAACCTCATTCTGTTAATCAAGTTGTGTTTTATTTTCTATGAGGCTGTGGGTAGGCAATATTGATGGCACAGCAGTCTTCCTGATTAGATGGTGTTCTGTCCATCTAAACTATAAGATTTCCCCAATCCTAGGAAGACAGTCAACAAACAGCAGCTGGACTTTTAATAGAATTTAATACTAGTAATATAAGCTAAGTTACTGCTGGATCTGCTAATGCTCATGATTAGACATTAAGATCATTTATAGGAAAGGAAAAAATGACTAGTCAATGGGGAGAATGAATACGGAGATGGAGAAAAATGGTAGAAGTGAAAAAAAATATCCACAACAAATTTAAATCAGATAAGTAATATTAGCACAAAAAAGTTTGATATTTTGGAAGGTTGTAGGAGCAACAACAACTAACTCACCAGAAGTGTATTAAAAAAAAAAAAGATCACCATGCTTTTAAAATGTTAAGATACTACAGCTCCAAAGTGGGTACTAAGCACTAATTCATAAATTCACATAAAACCAACTAATTTTGACATGGAATGAAGCAAAGCTCAGCTTAAAACAAGAGTAAGGTGGCTATTTGGCAAAAAGCTGTTAAAAATTTAGCCCCTGTAGTTATTTTCTTTCCTGTATTGTACCATAAAGCTGGCTTCATTCCACAGAAAATGATTTAAAAACTCTTGCAGGCATGGTTTTGTTGCACAAATAAATTGTCTAGTCTTTGTGATATTTTTCATAAAAGGTATGTTATATCAGATTTAACTTGCTTGTCAGACAGAAGTTACCCAACAGGTTGAAAAATGCTTAGTACAGGAATTTTCAGACGGATACAAGTAAAATACTTAAAAGAGAATATTAGCTTATTATTAGTAAGTAGTGACATAGTCAACACTGTGTAAAATAACTCAAGTGATTAGATACAGAATGGCCCTACAGCAGTTGTGACTGGCCTTAGAAGCTCTGTCTATACCAGGACTAGTAGGACTTTGTTGTCCTAGTTTTGTCCTACAATAATCATGCCAGGCATGACATTTGAGAATGAATCAGATCACTCCTACAGGGTTCTGTGTAAGGGCTTGATGTAAGGTGTGAAAACCAAAGAGCATCACTTCTGTAGAACAGTACTTTAAAACAGAACAGGTATGTGTTAAAACCTGCTACTGAAACATCTTGCAGGGAGGATACATTTTGGTCCCATCTCTATTGATGTGCATCTTCACTTACACCATAGTGATTTTTTACCCTGAAATCCTTTAGTATCAGAATCCCATGTCTTTTAGCCATTCATTTCAACTAATATTTTCCTTGATAGGGCATCAATATCCTCAACTGCTGTCATTCTAGCCTGAGTTTTGAATCTTCCAACTATGGCCAGATCATCAGCTAACTCCCATATGCACTTCTGTGGGAGAAGCCAATGTATTGCCTTTCTTTCTGATTCTCCAAGTTTCATTATCAACAATGCAATTCACACTGTTCAGGTGGAAATGTTGTCTTGTAATACAATTCCCTACAGTGGGCGAATATATTGTACAATAGGAGAAAAATATCTGGGGGTAAAAAAAAGTAGTAGATAACCCTCTTTCCTTTTGTTGGACTGTGTAAGGGAGAAAAAAAATGGAAAACAAGACTGCTCATGAAAAAGATATTTCTCTTTCTTGAAACAGATTAGATATGTTAAATATTTGTTAATTGGCTCGTCGAGTAACCTCACGAATTCTTGTTGGTTAGTCAACTACTCTTTAGTACCCGGAGGCAGCCAATGCACTCCGGCCCCACTCCTGAGGAGCCCCCTGCCTCTAAAAACCAGCTTCCCTTGCAGACTGGCTTGTCTCAAACAGAGGCAGCAGCACAGGGTGGCAGCAGCCCGTCTTGGGGTGAGGGGAGCTGTGCTCCTGGACCTGGCCGAACTGGAACTCAACCAGACTGCCTGCCAGCCTAGCTCCTAATACACTTTAAATGCAGAACCACAGCAGGGGTAGGTCCCAGACCTGTCACAAGGCAGGACTGAGTCAGGTTGATGGCCAGCTTGCTAAAAAAAATTTACTTGGGGGAGGGGGAATACGTGTAGTCTATATCATCAAACTATAAGCTTTTGCTTATCGGTTAATCAACTGCACTATTACATCCCTAGAATAGGTCATAATTAAAGCTGTAAGAAAAGAAAATTGGGGGGGGGGGGTTGTTCAAAGGTTGTAACCACAGTTAATTTAATTTGCAGTTTTGGTGCTGAGCACATGTGCTCTAGAGTTAGCCCCAGCACAGAAACCCCTGAGGCCGGTGGGAAGCCAGTACTCAATTACCCCAAGCCCTGTCTGTACCTGTGGGAGGCTGAAACTCCAGACCAGTCTCATTCACTTAGGCCTCCCCAGGACCATCCTCTGATACAGCTGAAAAAACCACAGAAGGCGAAGTCCTCTAGGTCACAAAGGAGCTGCTGCTTCTTGGCAGGCACCACCTGGTACAGCCAAAACTGCATCAGGTCAAAGTGCAAGGCTACCACCAGCAGGACAAAGTGCAGGCGGCAGCACTCGTCCTTGAGCTCAGGCAAATCCCCATGGAAACCTGATCTCAACTGCGTGGCTCCTTTGCCTCATCCTTCTCATCAGCCTTTGTGCCTGTCCCGCTCATGATGAAAGGTTGGGAGGTCAAATTTGAGTAACTGGCACTGCAACCGAGCACAGGTAGGTACAATGCCTCTCAAACATGCGGCAACTATTAAAGCTGGTGGAGGTCAAAGCTGCAGTTTCCACAACAGCGTCACATCCTGCAGTTTTCTTACAGCTTTAATCATAATTGAAGTAAAGATACAAAAGGGAATAAAGGTATCATAAATTAGGAATGTAGTCCTGTTTAACTAGTTAAACGTTTAAACCGGTTAAACATTAAGAGGCTGCTCTAGTCCGGCTGCTTCCGGACCAGGTAAGCATCACCCATTAAGGGTGATGCTTACCAGGTGACCAGTTTACCCATTAACATCCCTATCAAACATGATGCAGTGAGTAAGGATAGCTGAATGGTATTTAACAGTTTGACAAATTACACTAGGTGGTTACTGAACATATCTTTGTGTGTATTCTATCATTTCTGACTCACCATGTGCTAGTCACATATTTTACTTTCATACTGTCAAACAAATGTTTTTCTGCTCTTCACCAAGCCCTAGTAGCAGTTACATTTTAGAAGTGAAAAACAGAAAGTTGACTGTTCCAAATCAAGCATATAACAACCATTTTCCTCCTTTAAAATTCCACAAGCACAACTTGTAAAGGGAAGGCACAGGTTGCATGACCATGGCTGCACAGCTACCTTTACTTTGGCTCAAAGGCTTAGTCCTTGGGTTAGTAGGTGGTTGATAAAGTTTTCCAGCTCTGGCTGAACTGCTCAGAATCTTTGTAAAATTGGGAAATAAACAGATTAGTTTAGAAGGTAATTTTATAAATATATTGTGAATTTGTCCCAGAATAAGTTTTGGGAGAGATTACAGATGCAAAGAGGATGCTTTTAAAGCTGGATTGGGGAAACTTTTTAGGGTTGGGAGCTGCTGACCCACAGAAAAATTAGTTGGGAACCCACGGACATCTGAGAAGCAAAAAACAAACCCAAACCCTTACTGACGTGGCCCCTGACTGAGACTCTGAGCCTCAGGATTGCTAAATCCAGGCTGTATTCAGCCTGAGGCTCCCCAGCTGTCTTAAAGAAATACAGTCCTCTGTGATGGCACAGAGCTTAGTGTACAGGAACCATCAGAAATATATGCATTAAACTTAGCTATGCCGTACTGCACAACTAAGAAGTACACTATTCAAGACCAGCAAAGGAACCATGCTGGTATGCAAGAGAGGTGATAATTATCTTTGGGCTCATATGCGTACCTTGAATTGAATAACCTTCCCCACATTCTTGAACTCAGGCAGCACATCTTCATAGAAATCTAAGAACTGCTGATAAGTTTCCTCTTCACTGTACTCAAGACTTGCATCTGTATCATAGTCATCTCTTCTACACTGCTCCATCCCAAATGTCACAAACATACCTCTGATCAGAAGCGTCTGACTAGATGTTGGGTAGTTGTGTTTGCGGGAACACCTAAATCATTTATGGTAAAGAAAAAAAAATGTTCAGCAAAGGCTACAACTGCTCAAGCTGCAAACATTGCTATCTCTAGACCCACTAACAGATCTTCATTGGGAAAAAAAAATCTATAAAGGAGCCTCATTAGTGTAATTATGAGACTGAATCAGCATATTTCAAGGACTAAAGCAGGTCATTCATGACAAGTTTCCTGATAGCTTTAAACCCTCCAGCCATATATAACCCCATCAATGGTCAGACACACAAAGTCATCACTTGGCAATTTCAAAAATTAAAGGGGTTTATTTAATGCTGCTATTTTGAAATGTGTGTCAATTTCTAAATTGTGTTTCCAGATCCTTTAAAGTCTCACTTCTGTAAGAACCCCTCTATTATTTTATGCAAAATTAAAATAACTTAATGAAGTAAATGTAGTTACCCTCATCCTATTGGTAAGGAGAAGGAAAGTCAGGTCCCAGGTTGTGAATTTATGCAGCTATGGAAGTACCAGATTTTACAAGTGACAGCACCATGCAGGTTTATTTTAATCTTCATCATATTGGTGGCCACAAGAGGCCTTCAGATGCTGCAATAGAGTGTTCACCAGAACTGCCTGAAGTTCACTGAGACACCCTCAAGTAACAGTCTCCATGACTTGCTTCTGAATGAAAAGGGGTTCATTCTGGTGTAGGATCTCTGTTCTCCCAGGTTAAGTGAGCTCTGTCCAACATGTGTCAGTTTTTTCTTGGAAGCACTTTGGAGGATGTATCTTACATTTCATGTAGAAAACTACATCATTTATTAAAACTATGTATGAACAAACCTTATATTAGAGGAAACTAACATTGAGAATTAGGGAAACCATGTTACTATGAGCTCAGTAGCTTTGTTCATGACATAGGAACAAATGTACAGCAGAATTTATTTATCTGACCCATGATTATCCTCTTCTCTGCATTAACCAAGCAACCAGCACTCCAGGGCCAGAAATGGGTGATCTCTCCTGTGACTGCTAGACTACATTGAAACATGGCACTCTCCCATTCTCTGGATTATCCAACTTTCTGATTATCCAATCTGGACCCAGTGTGAATTAAATTAGATAAACAGGTTCTGCTATACCTGCTCATATCAGTAATCAATCTAGTGCAGTAACACATCTGACACTGGCAAAGAATAAATACTACAAGGTACAAGCTCTGTAACAGATAACTATCTAATAAGTAAACATGGCACTCTCCCATTCTCTGGATTATCCAACTTTCTGATTATCCAATCTGGACCCAGTGTGAATTAAATTAGATAAACAGGTTCTGCTATACCTGCTCATATCAGTAATCAATCTAGTGCAGTAACACATCTGACACTGGCAAAGAATAAATACTACAAGGTACAAGCTCTGTAACAGATAACTATCTAATAAGTTG